GAGTCAATTCTGACTTATAGTGACCCTATGGGACAGAACAGAACTGTCTCATAGGGTTTGCAAGGCAGACTGCCTCATCTTTCTCCTGCACAGCACCTGGTGGGTTTGAACCCCTGATCTTCTGACTAGCAGCCAAATGCTTTAGCCACTGTACTGCCAAAACTCCTGAACAAGTGGAAAGGCATCCACAATTCTTAAAGATCTCTGGGTGGAAACAATTTGCACTGACTAAAAGCTGTCATCTCAAACCTACCAAGTGGCCACAGAAAAAAAGTTCTGGTAATCTGCTTCTGTGAAGATTACAGCAAATAATGTGCCATGAGAACCACAGCCTCCACAACTCTGAGACCAGAACTAGATAGTGCCTGGCTACCACTACCAACCCCTCTGATTGGGACCACAGAAGGCCCTGGACAGAATGGAAGAAAAATACAAAACAAAATTCAAAATCATAAAAAAGACTAGTTACTGGTAGGCTAGAGACTGATGGAACCTGAGACTGTGGCCCTTAGACACTCTTCAAACCTAAAACTAAACATACCCTCAGGGATTACCTTACAGTCAAACAACAGGCAGGCCTATATAAACAGCAAACAATAGACTTTATAAAGTGAAAAATAACATTCTTGAGGAACATACTCAGAACAGTTTACGACAGGAGATCAAATGAGCAGTGTTTGCCCCAAAACAAAGCTCAGAAGGTAGAAAGTGGCAGAAAAGAAAGATGAATGGACACAGAAAACCCAGGGAGGAAGCAGGAACAGTACTATTACATTTACGGAATTTCAACTAAAGTTATGAAACAAAATGTGAATGAAATTGTTGAAGATCAAACTAATTTGCTCTGTAAACTTCTACCTAAACCACAATTAAAAAAAAAAGATTACAGTCAAGAAAATCCTATGAACACATATCTATTCTGTAACACATGGGGTCACCATATGTTGGAGTTGATGCAACAGCAAGGGGTTAGATTTTTTTGGTATTCTTAGATAGGATGACTCAATTTTAAAAACAACAATTCTCTTTAATTACTAAATTGAATGAATCTCAATAAAAATACCAACAAGCTATTTTACAGAGTTAGAAAAATACTAAAATTTGAAGCTAAAAGGATTTGCATAGAAGAGACCTTCCCCAAGGGAATTCAAACCAAAACAAACAAATAAACAAACTCACTGCCATTGAGTTGATCCTGACTAATAGTGACACCCACTGGGTTTCTGAGGCAATAAATCTTTATAGAAGGAGATTGTCCCACCTTCCTTCTGCAAAGTGTTTGGTGGGTTTGAATCACCAACTTTCTCTAAGGGAACTAAAAAGGGCAGAATAGCAACTTTAAAGCATTCAGCTGCTAACAAAAATGTCAGAGGTTCAAACCCACCAGGGGCTCCATTAGAGAAAGGAGAGGCAGTCTGCTTCCATAAAGATTTACAGCCATGGAAACCCTAAGAGGTAGTTCTGCTCTGTCTATAGGGTCACTATGAGTCAGAATCAACTCAATGGCCGTGGTTTTGGTTTTGGTACAGTAGAAAAACCCAGCAGACACCAACATAATCACATTATTAAGGTTCACATCATCAGTAAGATATATTGGCATCATATGCAGCACTAAGAAGGGCAGAGCATTTTTGTGGTATTCTTGCTAAAGCATCATGACTTCAATCTAATCATGAGAAAACATCAGACAAGCCCAAACTGAAGCACATTCTATAAAATAATTGATCACACTCTTCAAAAGTTTCAAAGAAAGACTATGAAACTGTTACCAACTAGAGACAGCTAAGGAGAAATAACGAAGTACAATGTGGATTCTAGTCAGGATCTAGGAATAGAAAAAGGGCATTAGTGGAAAAACTGGTGAAAATTAATTAAGATTTATCGTTTTGTCAATAGTATTTTACCAATGTTAATGTCCTGTTTTTGATAATTGTAGGATGATGATGTAAGATGTTAACATTAAAGGAAACAAGGTGAGAGATATACAGAAACTCTCTGTATTATTTTTACTTTTCTGTAAGTGTAAAATAAGTTAAAAATTAAAATTTAAAAAGAAAAGCCACTTTATTCCCTTACCCACTGTCATCTAGTTAATTCCAACTCATAGCAACCCTATAGAGCAGAATAGAACTGCCTCATAGGGCTTCCAAGGCTGTAAATTTTCATGGAAGCAGATTGCCTCATCTTTCGTCCCACAGTAGCTAGTGGGTTCAAACCATGAGTCTTAAGTTAGCAGACAAATGTTTTAACCACTACACCCCCAGAGCATTCATTCACTTAGGAAAAGGGAAACTTGTTAGTAAGCAATGTGAAGGTACCAGGGCCTTCAATGCCTAGTATCTGCCCATTTCCTATATTTGGAATACCTTTCCCCTAAAAAACCTTTACTCCTTTTGTTCTTAAAAGATTCAATCCCAAACTTTCTCTCAGGTTGGGTGCTAGTGTCAGCTTCCTCCTCACTCTTAAATATCATTTCTGATCCTTACTCTCAGTACTCCTGCACTTTGTACAAACCCGTTCTCTAAGGTACTAGCCATCCGGCTCTCCTCTCTTCCTACTTATGGTGACCTCATGTGTTTCAGAGTAGAATTATGCTCCATATGGTTTTCACTGACTGATTTTTTGGAAAAAGATCACCAGGCCTTTCCTCCAAAACACCTATGGATGGATTTGAACTGCCAACCTTTCAGTTACTAGCTAAGAACTTAACCATTTGCATCACCCAGTGACTCCTTTCCCCAACCTCTATACCTGTTCATTATAATCAACCACTGATTCCTAGTCCTTAGCCCACAATCATGGAGACTTTAGCATCCAGCTCACATCTTCTCCATGCCAATGCCCCCATCATGCTGAGGGAACTTAAATGGTTCCATCCAATGATCTCCCTTCTCAGACCTGCGGTTTATCTCAAATGACCTTCATTTTCACTTCAGTTACCCCTTTCAGGGCACACCCTGAAATGAATTCATGGGTTAATCTTTTCACTCCGAGCAGCATGTGATCTGGAACTTAGACTGGCAGACAGGTGAGCTTAGCTGGTGTGGCCTATCAGGAAGGCTGGGTGACTTGTTGGGTGCACACAAGGCTACCTGGTGGACTCTGCCACCCACACACTGCAGGGGCAGATAAATGTCTGGCTGCTTGGCTAGCTGGACGACAGGACGTCCATTAGCTGAAATGAGGCCTGCCTACGGCTGACAAGCTGGCTAACTGACAGGAAGTGTGGGAAGCAAACAGAGAGGCCACGGTGAGGGCGGGAAGGAGGGTCAAGGAGGGTCGGCAAGGAAGTTCGTCAAGGCGGAGAAATTGATATGAAGGCTAGCTCCTGAAGGACAGGCCTAAGACTCCCACATCAACCAAGATGGCTGACTAAGAGGACGCCAAGAAGAACGCAGGATTGGCTGACTGAAAGGGTGACTGACAAGAAGGCAGTGTCACCAACAGGATCATTCCTGACGAGAGGGAGAGCTAGCCCAGGCTTCCGTCTCCACCCCGCACCCCCGCCCAGTCCCATCCAGCTGCACCACCTGCACGCGCTGCTCGCCAGGGGCCGCTCTGTGCCCTCGACGCCTTCAATTGCGGGGAAGCAGAGGCCGCAGCGGCGGCGAAGGCGGCCTCGGGGGCCGAGGGACCGACGCCAGGGGGCAGCTCTGGGACCAAGCACAGCTCCTGGCCGCCCGGGGCCCCCGCCTCCGATTCCCGCTGCTTCTTGGGACTGCAGCGGGTCCCGTGCCCCAGGCCCCAACGGCCTCGCGCCCGGCGGCCGTCGAACTGCAGGACGCTGCCACACTGGTGTGAGCCGAAGCGAGTCACATAGACGAAGCGCGCCCGGCCCAGCTCTTGCTCAGGTCTGGCCGCCATCGCTGCGCTGGCCCCAGCAGTCATCTGAGTGCCACAGAAAGCGCGTAAGTGGGAAGGGGTGGGGGCGGGAGGGCCGGACCACTAGGCGGGTGTTGCGGGGGGGTGACGAGCAGGGAGCGGACTATTGTGCAGGAAGGGTAGTCAGGAAGTCGGGAAGTTAAAGCTAGGAGACCGCAGTTAGTAGTTCGGGGGCTGTGTGGGCGGGTCAGAGGCTAAGAGAGAAGTCTGGACTGGACCATTCTGCAGGGAGGGGATGGGAGGTAAAAGGGAGCAGGAGGCTGCTCAGTTGATAGGAGTAGCGATCTACTCTTTAGTGAAGTGAGGTGAGCATTTGTCCACCAGATCACTTGAGGGGGAGCAGATGTTGAGGGGGCAGGCCTCTCCACGGAAACGATCTGAAGGGTGAGGAAAAGGCCCAGATCACTGGAGTGTCTCTCACTGTAGTTTGGTGTGGGGTAAGATTTTGAAGTGAAGCACTAGCCCTGGATTTGACTAGCCTAGAGTGTCAGCCACATGAAGTTGGGGAAGCCTGGGGAGAAGACAGAAGAGCCATTTGCGTTGGAGTTTTTGCTGGAGCCTTACCCTGGCATATGTTAGTAGTGGGCTATGGTTGTCAAGAGGCACTGGGCAGAGAGAACATGAGCCTCAGGCCAGAGTCATTCCGGCAGATCTGAGACCAGTCCTGACTAGCTGGGTTATGTCCACAAGCCACTTTCCTTCTCTGAGCCTCAGTTTCCTCAGGTGTAAACTCGGGGTTATTGGGTTGTACGGATAAATCAAAATAAGCATATTTAAGTATCTGACACATAGTAAGAAGTAGTTCCCTCGGGCTTAATTTTCATTTAACACTTATTGATCACGTAGCATGTCTGTTGTTGTTGTTATGTGCCGTCGAGTCAGACCTGACTCATAGCGACCCCTCCTTGGGTTTCCGAGGCAATATCACTACGGAAGTAGATTGCCCCATCTTCCTTCCGAGGAGTGGCTGGCATGTCAGTAGCACATCATAATTGTTTTTCATTTATATTTTACAAATTACTTTCCTGTAGACTGTCTCTTTAAACCCATGTGACATTTTACAGCACAGAAACTGGGCTCCAGAATGTGGAGTGACTTCCCCAAGACAATAGTTAGACAGTGACAGAGACATACTTCTTTAAAAGTAAACTTTTGTTTAAACTATATATGTAGAAAGTTACATAAATCATCAGTGTTAAAAAAAAAATTGCTGTGAAGTCAATTCCAACTCAGAGCAACACAGTAAGACAGAGTAGAACTGCCCCATTGGGTTTCCAAAGCTGTAAATCTTTACAGAAGCAGACTGCCTCATCTTTCTCCTGCACAGCAGCTTATGGGTTCAAACTGCCTTTCAGTTAGCAGCCAACTGCTTTAATACTATAGGGCTCTTTCACCAGTATAACCAAAACCAAACCTGCTGCCATTGAGTCACTTCTGATTCATAGCAACCCCTATTGGGTTTCCGAGGCGGTAAATGTTTACGGAAGTAGATTGCCCAGTCTTGTTTCCACAGAGTCACCAGTGGGTTTGAACCGTCAACCTTCTGGTTAGCAGTCAGATGCCTTAGTCACTGCTACCAGAGCTCCTTTTCACCAGTATAGATAAATGCGTTTTCACACAGTGAATATACCCATATGATGTCCACCCAAGTTAAGAAATAATGCACAGCAGAAGCAACTTGTCCTCACCTATTCACAGTCCCTTTCCTCTTTCTTGATTTCAAACAGCATCAGTTAGGTTTGCCCATTGTGTTTGACTTCTTTCACATAAATGTGAAATGTGAGATCCATGCTTTTTAATGAGTTTATACATCATTTGAATGGATCATCATTTCTTCATCCATTCCACTGTAGATGGACATCTGGTTTCTAGTTTGGGGCTATTCATAACACCTCTGGGATCATTCCTATACATATCTTTTGTTGAACATGTCTATACCTTATTGTGGAATTACTTAGAGTATATTATATTCAGCTTTAGTTTTTGTTGTTAGGTGCTCTCTTAGTTATCCAGTGCTGCTATAACATAAATACCACACGTGGGTGACTTTAACAAACAGAAATTTATGTTCTCACAGTTTAGGAGGCTACAAGTCAGAATTCAGGGTGCTGGCTCTAGGGGAAGGCTTTCTCTCTGTGTCAGATCTCAAGGAAGGTCCTTATCTCTTCTGAGCTTCTGCTCCTGGGAAATCTTTATGTGGTTTGGCATCTCTCTTCTCCCATCTCTACTTTTCTTGATGCTTGTTTAATCTCCTTTATATCTAAAAAGTGATTGGCTTAAACACACTGCAAAAAGGACATGGGGGTGAAATTCTGTGACCTCCTCTAACTTCATGAGGGGGAGAGAGAATCAGCATCAGCAGCCCAAGGTTGATTACTGTGAGGTGGAGAAGTCAGACATGCCACCTCCCTCCAACCTTTTTACCAATTCTGACACCAACCATTCCTCCCACGTCACTTACTGCTTTGCTGGGTTCATTAATTCATTACAATGGCCACACAGAACTCAACAGACAATACTTACTTACGAGGTTTATGAGGGAAGTAACAGATTACAATTCAGGTTCAGGAACACACTGAGCATGTTG